TCCTGACTGGATCAACCTGCTGCTCATCGGGGCTTTCTCCAAGAAGCCCTGGGGTGAGGAACCACCCCCTACACCCCCAGTGCCTGATTTCTTGCCCTTCACGGTGCAGACGGATGCCGCCCCTGCCGGGCTACCCCCCTCACCGAGGGCCATGGAGGTGCCCGGGCGAGAGGTGGGGGCTGCTGGCGAGGGAAGCGAGGACCCGGCTCGGGGGGGGTGGCACAAAAAAGGAGGAGACCTTCCGCCCGCGAGGCCTGGGCTCCCTCTTCCCCTGCGAGGGTTTGGAGTTGGAGTCCCCCGATGCGGGCCAGGACACGGACCTGCTGGCACCGTCGCCCGCGGGGGAGTTCCTCAGTGAACCCCTCCAGGAACACACCTCTGCTGTGCTGGAGGGACCGGCCACTTCAGAGGATGGCATGGGGGACCTGGAGGAGGGCATTGCCACCAGCTCGGATGCTGCTCCCTCTTCCCCTGCGAGGGTTTGGAGTTGGAGTCCCCCGATGCGGGCCAGGACACGGACCTGCTGGCACCGTCGCCCGCGGGGGAGTTCCTCAGTGAACCCCTCCAGGAACACACCTCTGCTGTGCTGGAGGGACCGGCCACTTCAGAGGATGGCATGGGGGACCTGGAGGAGGGCATTGCCACCAGCTCGGATGCTGGCCTGCTTCCCACCTCTGCTTTTGTGCTGAGCTCCTGCCCTGACATCCAGATCGACCCAGCAGTTGAGAAGGAAGAGGAAAGCCTAGCTGTCCTCAAAAAGTCCTCTTCGCAGAGGCCCTCCAGCTTGGGGAAAGATCTAGGGGCAGCAGAGGGCCCACCACAAAGCCCCTCAGACCCAGGGCAGGCTCTGCCCCTGCTCTCATCCTCCCCAACGGCTTCCATCAGCACCTTCAGCTTTGAGCCCCTCAGCAGCCCCGATGGGCCGGTCGTCATCCAGAACCTGCGGATAACTGGGACCATCACTGCCCGAGAGCACAGCGGGACTGGCTTCCACCCCTACACCCTGTACACCGTCAAGGTAAAGGCTCCCCCGGCGGTCACCCCTTTTCCAAGATCCCTGTGCTGCCAGAGGAGCGTGGGCTGGTGTTTGGAGCTAAGGATTTGTGCTGTGTGTGGCTCGACGGCAAATTTTGTCTGGCAGCGAGGGGAATATCAGGCACAGTGTTTTCCCTGTAGCCGTTCGGGTGCAGGGTAGGGGTTCCCACTCTTGGCCAGGGGTCATGTGGGGCTGGTTGAGTCTTTTGTCTCCTGTTTTCACCATTCCCTTCATTGTGAGGGATTCGTGTGCTGTGCAGCCCCTGTTCCTCAGGAAGGGTGGTCAATCTGGGGAATTGCTGGATGGGACCTCTGTGGGGCTAACAGGGACCATAGCACATCAGGATTGTTTTGGGGTCTGTAAGGATTATTGACTGTTGCCTTACTCCTCAGTATGAGACAGCCCTGGAGGGTGAGAGCGCGGGCAGCCTTCAGCAAATGGCTTACCACACCGTGAACCGCCGTTACCGGGAGTTCCTCAACCTGCAGACCAGACTGGAGGAGAAACCGGAGCTCCGCAAGTTCCTGAAAAGTCAGTGCCTGCGTTAGCTTCCTGAGAAAATACTTCTCCCTCTCACCCCAGTCCATGCTCCTCTGCTCTGAGGCTGTCGTGTCCTGCCTGCGCAGCTCTGGGTGCTGGGCTGTTTGTGATGCCCATGTCCTTGCTCTGTGCAGGGCTGGCTAGAGGAGAAATTTATTTCTTTTGGCAGCAAATTCCAGTGTTTCAAAACAATCTTTGTTGCTGTTCAGATCACAAGACTTGCTTTTGTGGTTTTGCACCTTAGCAATGAATAGAAACACTGGTACCTGCAAGCGTTGTTTGCCTGTAAGAAAGTAAAGTAGTATGTGTTGAACCTAAGCTTTTTTTTAGAAAGAAAACAATGTTTCTTCTAATGCTACTTATGTGTAAAGCATGTTCCTACGTAATCCTTTGGTTTTGACTGGAAAACTGCTTTGTTGAGAATTTTTGGGCTCTTTGAGCGATGTAAAGTCGTGTTCTTGCTTCTTTAACATTAAAGGCACAGATGATATGATATCAGCAGAACGCAAGTTCTGTATGGATTTAAGGTCTGATTCAGCCACTGTGGTTTGAGGGGTGTATTATCTTGGGCTGATGCCGTGTGTAGTGGTAGTCTAAAGCATGACAGCATTAAGATTTTAAAACAACTGTTCCAGTTTTCTCGAGCTTGCTAATGGGTTTGTTTCCTTTTTGTAGATATCAAAGGCCCAAAGAAACTGTTCCCTGATCTCCCATTTGGAAACATGGACAGCGATAAAGTGGAAGCCAGAAAAAGTCTGCTAGAATCTTTCTTGAAGGTGAGATACTTGCTTGTGTGCCCCTGTGAGCTAGAAAGCAGCGCGCAGGACAGCTCTGTACTGACAGGCAGTGGAGCACATCGGATCTCTTCCACTGCGCTTTACATGATCAAGCTGGGAAATTGACTCAAAAAAGATCTAAAACTACATCTTTCCTTGCAGCAATTGTGTGCAGTCGCTGAGATTGCAAACAGTGAGGAGGTGCAGGAGTTCCTCGCCCTGAACACTGACGCCAGGATCGCTTTCGTCAAGAAGCCCTTCGTTGTCTCCAGGATAGACAAGGTAGACAAGTGGGAAACTGGTTATCTGAACCACTTTTGACTGCACCTAGACATGCCTCTTGGGCTTCAATGTCTACATATATGGCTGCGGCAGCAGTAGCCAAAAAAACCGA